GTGAAGGTCCGCTTCCTGGTAATTGAATGTCCCTCCTTGTACCAGTGCATCCTATTTTATTATAATATTAACTATTTTCAAATTATATATTTTATTTATCTAACTTCTTATGACATCATTTTCAATTTAATATTATTTTTTATTTTAGGATAAATCTAATACTTCCTAAATTAAATTGTTTTTTTATTAATATATGATTCATACTTTACTACCATTCATAAATATGAGTTCTATAAATATTAAATTAAGATTCAATCTTAGTTTATCTTCTCAATAACTTTAATCTCTCAATGTGATTTTTGAATTGTTATGAGAATGTATTTTTTTAAAGGACCTTCTAATATTCAGGGTTTAATCTTTTAACCTCAAATCAGTTTAATCATTTGACTCAAACCATAGTATTTTCGAAAGTTACACATATAATTTGTTGTGATTCATTAAGATTCAAAATTAAAACAATGTCTATAAAATAATAAATCATAATATAGAAATGTAATTTAATATCCAATATATGGAAATTAAAATTGGAACTTTCTTTCTAAGCACGGGAAAAAATTCCTTTAAATATGTATACTTGTCCAGAAGTAAAACAACTTCTTCTAAATGTGTATACATTGTTAGCAGGACCAATTTCCCTAATACATAAACTTCTCAGATTCCATTGTCACACAATCAACAGAATCAACCCCTTTAACTTTAAAGCTATTAATATATGGTTTTCATATGTTTCCTTGAACAAACTCTTATGTATGCACCCTAAAAAATAACTAAAACATAAAATAAAAACCACTACATTAACAATCAATATGTTCATAAGAAAATTGTCAAGCTAACTTACAGGGAGACCAAAGATCTGATTGGCTTTTGCTTTCATCACAGGTTCAAAAGTTGTTGCTTCTTCAACCACCTCTAACCAAAAAATAATCTTCTGCCATCATCCATTCTAACACAACCCGCACATACCAACATACACCATCATTAATAACACAATCTGAAGCTGAACATAGAACAAAATCATTAAGAAGGAGGAAGAAACAAGTTTCTTTTTTTAAAGAGTGAAAACCAAAACTCCTTTTTCTTTTTCATATAAAGAACAACTTCATCTCTGAATCAACCTTGACATTTCACTTCTAATGAGAAAAAAAACAGAACACCATCATATGAAAAGAATTGTCAAAAAGAACAAACTCAACTATTTTTTACCTTAGCGGAAAATCGCGAACCGCTAATCACAAACCGGTCGCTGGAAAAATGAGAAACCATTTATTTAGACATGCCTTCACCATTCGAAGTCACAACCTCCGATGACAACTGAAGCACGCAACCGTGAGATCACTCCATCTCCACGCATAACCATTTCACCAGAAAAGATACTCGCAGTCACCACCACGTCGCCGCCATCATGAAAGATTGAAGGTAAGAATGTATCCCCTTTCTCTTTATGATTCTGATTCCTTGCTAAGTGAAGGAGGAAGTTTATTGTTGCGTTTTTTCGGAGAGATCAAAAGTTATTTTTATGGTTTGTTATATTAAAAAAGAAGAAGGGATAGAGGGGGAAAGAGAAGGGCTTTAGATATGATTTTGTGAGAAAGAGTTTAAATAGAAAGAGAAAATAGAAATATAAGAGAAAAATGGAGGAGAAGAAAGGTCTGAAATCTTGTGAAAGAGAAAATGTGAAGAGAGAGAGAGGGGAAGTGGTGGGTTTAAGTGTGAATACACATGGTTTTGGAGATAATTAATGCATTGTTTACTGTGTTAATCAACTCAAAATCTAAAAAGTTGAAATAAAGTATAAATAGTACTAATTTAATATAAAATTAATTCAAAATTATTTTAAAATATAATAGCATGACACATAAGCAAAATTTAATGTCAAACGAATGTGGTTGCAACAAGGGTTCAGATAATCAGTTTCAACCATGCAATCAAAAAGTTTTAATGTGAACTCAAAAAGGTAAACATGGTTTTTTCAGGTACTTATCTTTTTATATATAAATAATAAATGGTTTAATTTTTAAAAAAATCAAATTTGTTGACATGACACCACAATCAAAGTGTCATGTCATAAATGAAGAGGACACATAAGCAAAATTTGATAGGGGATTATAAAAATCTAAAGGTCGTCAAAATTAAGATACTAGAATAAGTGGTTTTGTAAGAGCACCTCCAACCGTGAATCCATTTTATGGTTCTTTATGAGATCTATTAAATCACGTTAGCTTCAAGCAACTCAACTAGTTTTTCACTCCAATGGTGCAACTCTTAAGAACTCATATTGGGTCCCACAACTTTATTTTATATATTAATATTTTATTCTTATTAATTTTTATATCACTTAAAATAATAATTTTAATTATTTAAATTAAAGTTGATATAAAATAAATCTTAAAATTTAAATAATATTATGTCAAATAAAAGTAATAAGATGAAATTGAAAGAGTAAAGTGATGAAATTGTGAGAGAGAAATTAAAATTTTAAGAAAAATAAAATTATGAGAAAATTTGAGTGTAAAAATTTAAAATGGTCTCGTTTATAAGCAAATTAATTATTTAAAAAGAAGAAGAAAAAAAGGAGAAAAAAAAAAAAGCTGAAAGACAACAATTACAATTTTTATTATTTTAATAATCCATTCAACTGTTGCATTGCAGTGCAGTGTTCTCCACCTGGCACAAGTGTAATGTCTACTTTTTCTTGAAAGCTGGTGTTCAATTGGCGAACCAAGATAATAATCCTCCCGCTGAAGATGGTCTAATAGAAAATCAATTGTTTAAAACGCCTAAACTAAAGAGATCAAAAATATCAAAAATGCATTTAAGGTTATATATTAAAAGAAAATTTTTCAAAATTTTGGTATAAAAAATGATTAAATCCATGACCTTGACATAACTAAAGGAATCCATAACCAATTCATTCAATTTTAAATTTGCAACTTACATACATACCCACACAAATAGCATAAAATTTTCATATATTAGAACCGAACCAAATTGATCAAAAATATATGGATTGATTCGAATTGCATTTTCATATTTTTTTGATAAAACCCAAACTTAATCGAATTGAAAAATAATAAATTGGTTTGAGTTGAATTGATCGGATATATTAGAAACAAATATGTAAAAATATTATTAATTTTTTTAAATTTATATCAACTAATTTTATAATAATATAATTTTTTTTTCATTTCTTCGTATATGTGGTGAAATTCACAAATAATTTTTTTTTCTTTTTAAAATTAAATATCTTATACAAATTTTTATGAAAATAATATAAATTATATGAATTAGTATGATTCGTTTGGATAAAGAGACTCATAAATAAAATTTTATAAATTTTCTGTCTGAATCAATTAAAATTAAATTTCATTGTTATATTCAATTTTTGTCTAAATTAAAAAAATATCCAGTCAAATACTATAGTTTAGTTTAAATTTCAATTTAGGTCGAATTTTCCAAAAATAATCGATATCCTTAACAGTAACCCCGGTACAACTGCCCGGTCCGGTTCGATACTATGACTGTAACGCTCATTTTTTAAAAAAGTTTGAAACAAAGAGCCCTAAATCCGTAGCTTGCAATCCCACTGTCTCTCCCTTATTGACCGCTACTCCTTCAATCGCCCAACTGCTGTTCGTGTTTGGCATCACCATCATCCAAAATCAAGTAAGTACTACTCTTCTTCTTCAATTCCATTAATATGCAATTGAGGTTGCTTAAACTACAACCAATCAATTTCTTTAGAAAATTTTGAAGGAAATTAACGTAATTGTATAAGCTTTTAGAAATGAATTACGTTGGATAAGGATTCTGGATAATTAAGAACTAGTCAGTTTAATTTTCATCTTTCTATGTTTTTGTATACCTTCACTAACATTTTGTTGAGGCCATGGTTCCTACGAGAATTGGCGTCTTAGGAATAGGAACAGCTCGTTTACTTGTCTCCCCAATCCGCCACTTTTTGCCTTCAGAATTTGTCTCTGCAGTTTGGATTTGGATACTGTTACACGCTGTTCGGGTGTTGTGGCGTCGGCGAGATTTTCTTCTGTTCTGTCTGGTAGGGTCAAGATGGGGTTTTCGTGGCTTGGTGAGAGGTTGAGCAGTGAGGGTCTTCAGTGTTTTTAGGTTCTGTTGCTGTGTTTAGCTGCGGTATAGAATCTTCCTTTTGCCAGTCTCGGGATCAAGCCCGCTGTGGTTTGACTCCGTTCTGTTGGTGTAGTCCTATGTAACTTCCAGGCAAAGAGATTTTGCTTTTATTTTCTGCTGATGCGAGCCTGCTACATTTTCCTATGGGCCAGTTCAGTTTCACTCTTCCTTGTGGTTTAATTAGTTTGGCATCCTGGGCAATCCGAGTTTTTTTATCTGTATAAGTCGGCAGCATTTCTTCAACTGATGTAATGGAAACGAAACTTTTCATGGAGGGGCTGTTGGCATTTCAATTTTTTAGATGTTTTACTGCACTTGGTTTAGGTGCTCAGAGATTTGATGACACGCTTATGCTGGTCATGGATTTATATATGTGGCTTTTGAATTTGCCTTTTGTACTGTTTACATTTTTGCCTTGCGTAATTTGTTGGGTGCACACGGTTCTGTATGGCTTGCAGCGATTTTCGTTTTGTAAGTTTGGTACTTTTGGTCCTTGCTGGCATGTGGTGTGTCCGGTGTTCAACTCAGACATGATACCGAAAATGTAGTTACATGCAATTTCTTACACTTTTTAAAATTACTATCGGTGTCTGGCTGTCAGTGTTGTGTCCCATTCCCATGTCAGTTCTTCATAAATTGGCGCACACATGTATTTATGTATGTATATAGAGAGAGTAACCTGAATGATAAGTCACTGAGTTTATCATCACAAAAAAGTCACCCTTAGAAATACAAGCAACTACAAAATGAATGAACAAATACTTCAATTCCAGTTCCTACTAAAATTGCAAACTTTTTTTTTCTTTCAATTGAAGGGTTAAATTGAGGGAATTTCAACTGCCGTATCATTTTATATTATGGGGACTGAAATTGAGTCAAAAGATAGCTCTCTCATTCTCATCAAGCAAGGAGCTGAAGCTGTAAGTTTAAATCACCCCTTCTATTTGTTGAGTCAATTAGCACATACCCATTATGCAAAACAATCAACTTGTTTTTTACCAACTGTGTTGGATAATCTTTTCTTGATGAAGTTGCTCCTATTTTGCATTTTTTTATCTACTTATGCAGAATTTGAAGGAAATTGGAATTGTAATAGCAATAGCTTATGCATTTTTTATTGTCCTTGTTGTAGAGAGTTTTTGAGTCTTCTTTTGTTGGAAGAAGGTCTGTTGTCAAGGAGCGATTCTCAAAGAAGTACAGGCATCCAACTTTGGATTCTAAGTTAACACTCAAGCGCTTAAATGCGGTATGATCAGATTTAGTTAAAAGTTTCATTTTCTTTTTGATCAAGTTAGTACGTGTTTGGACAAACAACTTAATTGAATGCTTATACCATAAACACTTATCATAGAAGTGCTTCTGCAACAAAAGTTAAAATAAAGTCAACCTTTTATTATAAGTTATAAGTTATTTTCATAAACTCTCTCAAACAATCTCTTAAGTGCTTAGGACGATAGTTAAGCTCAAATATATCCGCTTACGATTATTATTATAAATATAGTTGTGTCTCATTGGATTTCTTGAATGCTTTGCTGGAGCAGGAGGCAAGGTGCACAACCAAGGCAAGACGACTTGGTGTTTGTACACCTGTGTTGTATGCCGTGGATCCTGTGTCGCACACTTTAACATTTGAATTTGTTGACGGACCTTCAGTCAAGGATGTGTTTCTTGAATTCGGATCATCTGGTGTCAACGAAGAGCGGCTTGGCAAGATTGCATCCCAAATTGGTGATGTCATTGCAAAGTTACATGACGGTGGTCTTGTTCATGGTGATTTAACAACATCGAACATGTTACTAAAGAATGATACTGATCAGTTGGTGAGTTCATTCATGTCTTAGGTCCTGTAATTAATATCATTAACTATTGTTACAGCTGTGACATGTATTTTGTCTAGGTTCTTATTGACTTTGGTTTGAGCTTCACTTCAACTTTACCCGAAGATAAAGCTGTCGATTTGTATGTCCTGGAAAGAGCCCTTGTTTCGATGCATTCTTCATGTGGCAACATTGTAAGCCAACTTCTCATTTTTTTCCCTTCCATTTTCATAATTGTTAATATGGTTTCTGTGCTGACAAGTAATATCGATATTTGTCTGGATAGATTGATCGGATTCTTGCTGCTTACCGTAAGTCATCGAAGCAGTGGTCATCCACAATGAACAAGCTGGCAGACGGTACTACCTTCCATCTAATTGTTTTTAAAATTAAGAAATTTTCTTCAAGAAATTGTACTTACCTCCATATATCTTCACGACTTGTAGTGCGACAAAGAGGACGAAAGAGGACCATGGTTGGTTGATTCTTTGAGTTTCATTTCTTATTGAGGTAAAAAAGGGGTGACAAGTGAAAACTAATGAATGTTGTCAACATAACTTATATGTATTTCTTATATGAACATCTCTTGTAGTTTAAAAAATTAAACATTTAAACTTTGATTATAATCTTCAACTTCCATGTGTGCCACAAACAAAACTGTTATTTTGATATTTACATGTCCATGATTCTAAGTATCTTCTTGTTACTCCCTTTAGTCCTATTTATAAAAGGTTGGTTTTTTAATAGATTATAAAAAAACTAACATAGTACTAGTAATAAACAAATTATTAAGTAACAATATATTGTTTTATAAAAATTAATAGTAAAAATAAATCATTAATCCAATAAAAAGTAACATAATATATCTCAAAAAATAATATTTTTAGTTCTTATAAAGTTTTAATATTTGTTTTTTAGCTTCTGTAAATTTTAGTTCTTACAAAATTTTCTTGAAAGAAGTTTTTATTCTTCTATTCTCAATTTAAATTTTTGAATGTTTTTTGGGAAAAATAATTTTTTTAAATTGAATTTATAGATCTAAATTTTTTATTTTTAGCTTTAATTATGGTGTTTTAAAAATATACAATGAATACATTTTTATGTTAAAACTTTGTAATTTTTGGTGGGTAAATTTTTTATAGTACTCTAATGTTGATTAAAAAAGTTATTTAAAAATAAAAATCTAATTGTAGTATTAATTCCTTCATTCTTATCTTTTACTAAAATTGCTCTTCTATTTTAAAATAATTCAGTTTTGATCTTTCACTCATGTTTTTAACTTAAAAATAGTTATCTGATATGTTTTAAGTGACAATCGAATATCATAAAAATGGGTTGGTTGCTGGATTGATTTTTCATAGTTGTGTTTACCTGCAGAGCTATTGTTATTTCATTCATTGGGTGAAGGTAAATAAATATAGTTGCTCTTGTTATTTCATTCATTGGGTGAAGGTAAATAAATATAGTTGTTGGTTGGTAGAATGTACCATGTGTCCTATAACTTCCCATAATTTTTTCATGACCACGTCTATACCATGATAGTTCAGAAGTGATAAATTTTAACTTACTATATTTAAATTTTGTTCAAAAAAAAAACTTACTACATCCAAATTAATTCTATTAGCTATATTATTTAAATTAATTTTTAATTAATTTAGTGATTTAATTATGCAATAAGATAATTTATTTTTTATCTAAATATTTATTCATTTATTATATTAATTAATATGAGTTAAAATATAGGTATGTTTAATGACCTATTTCGAAATACTAATAACATGGTTGTGAAGTGATATAAATTTTCTTAACGAAAAAGAAGATAAATATATTATAGGTTAAATAAGTTTGTGTTCCTCTTAAATATTTTAAAATTTATTTTTAGTCTTTTAAAATATTTTTTTAAAGAATGGTCCTTCTAAAAATTTGTATATACACTTTTGGTCCCTCTTACAATTTAGCGACAATTTTAACAACTAAGTGATAGAATTAGCGACGATTTATTACTTATCGACTGAATTAACGACAATTTTAACGACGATTTTAACAACTAAGTGATAGAATTAGCGACGATTTATTACTTATTGACTGAATTAACGATAATTTTAACGACGATTTTAGTATTAAGGACCAAAAGCGTGAATGAAAATTTTTAAGAGAACCATTCTTTGAAAGGAATATTTTGAGGGACTAAAAACAAAATTTAAAATGTTTAGGAGGACCACAAACATATTTAACCCATAAATTATTCAATCAAACACATAAGGCTTTTTACCACTCATGTATGTCATACACAGGTTTCATGCTATAGTCCTCACCTTTAGGTGGGTTGTTCTTCCCACTCTTACATGTGCTCTTCACCACAGTGAAAAATCTCTATTGCCCATAACGTTCGGAGATCCAGACGCATTTTTCAAGCCATTTTTCAGAGTAAATTGATGAGGTACTTTATTATGCTAAAATTAAATTCATAGATGTATCTTTGTATATGTAAATGCTAAATCTGAAGATGTATCCCTGTAAACATTAATTATTCAAAAATTAGTGGGTGGTCCGGAGATGCATCTTCAGACGCTTATATTTCATATCCTTGAGTCAAACCCATATCTCTTCCTCCTTTTTCATTTTGTAAAAAAATCTTATAAAACATTTGAGTTTTTGCATCCATTCAAGTTTATCATCCATTCATTCAAAGTTCTACCATTAGAGTTCTTTCTTCTCTTTTTAAGCATATCATACATTCAAGTTTCTCTTTCTCATCTATTTGATTTGGTAAGTTTTTCAAAATTCTTTCTCTTTTTATATTTTGATTTATAGTTAGTTGTTTAAGTTACATTAGTTGTTTAAGGTACATTAGATAGCAGTGGAGGTTCCCAACCACCCGACTCTACTTCACGTAGCCGTTTGTCTCATGCCTCTACTTCACGGGACCACGAGGCCTCAGATGTTGAAGTAGCAAATGAAGTCCCTGAAGTCCAAAAGGAACTCGCTGCTGATGACCCTTTAGAGAATTATCTAGATGGTATATTTGACACCTTTTTACTTCATCTCTATGCAGACCATGCTGCTAATCATGTTTGGGAAGGAGAGGTATATTTATTTTCATTTTCAATACATATATTTTTCAACTAATTAAATCGATATTGATGGTGATATTTTTTTACAAGAGGGTCCGCATTTGAAATTGGTAAATCACGGTAGGAAGATATTGGAGTTGGAATAACCCAGTGTTGCTTGGTTCATCGGTGTTATTCGTTATTTCGGTATTTGGAAGTTTGACGAGGGTTGTCTTTGAAAGACAAAGCAAATGACACTGAGCTGCACGCTGCTTATGGTAAGTTACTACTGCTAGTATTTTCATAATTAAGTTATTATACTTGTTATTAATATTGTATCTAAACCATTTTCAGGGATAGATCATCTCTCACTTCCCTCGCATCACGGGGTGAGAAGTTGTGCCTACCTACACTTAGGGGTGGCAAACGGGCATGTCCACCCCGTTTAAGATCGACCCGCAAAAGCCCGCATAAAAACGGGGCAGGACGGGGCAGACATATTTGAGTGTGCAGGCCTAAAACCTTCCCCGCCCCCGTATAAAAGTGAGGGCAGGGCAGGCCCGTGGGAATTGAATCTTTTAGGCCTAAAAATTACAAAATTGTATGTGAAAGCTCGTGCTCACAAAAGCCCACAAAAACGGGGCAGGGCGGGACGTGCACATCAAAGGGTGCGAGCCTAAAACTTTGATCTGCCCTGCAAAAAAGTGCGGGAAAAACGGGCAGGCCCGACAGACCGAGTTCGTTTTGCCACTCATACCTAGACCGAGGATTGGCCACGTGCTGTCACATTTACCCCGTACAGGGGAATAATGCAATCGAGTCATTCAGAGTACATATTAATCATCATGTACTAGATGACATTTGCTTCTACTCATGGGGGTCACTAAGAGACGAGTCTGCTGGATGTTGTTTCCTTATTTTCAGATGGATGACATGTGGGTCATCTCTTATGTATCCTTATATACCCGAGCGAGTGATGCATTAGTTTGACTATTTACAGATTATTCTGAGATCCCTCATCGAAGTCTGCTCCTCCAACCATCTACCATAGAGATATTGATGCGATACTAGAGGATTTTAAGAGTCAATTGGTATTATAGAAGTATCACAGGGTGTCAGCTCATTTACAATGGACTTATGCTGACGACTACATGACATGGTTTTATATGGTGGCACACTTTATAATGACACCAGACGCTCCTGGAAGCCCACATAAACTAGCTAATCAGGAGGTACTTGAGGCTAAGAGTGACCACACTGAGAACATGTTGGCAGTATGTCAGCGTATTGTGGAGATGGGAAAATCAAACATAACGGTATAACTATTTGAGAATGGAAACCTCCAGTTGGTCCTCATGGAAGGCATGATTGCCGAGACACGCAATGCCTTGAAGTATAGGCTAGGGAGAAGGTCGGGGTTAGACATACATATAGGTTTGTGTTTGATTATACTATTTTGTATTATTAGAACAACTTATTGAATGACTTTTTTCATAATTGAGTATTATGTTTTTTTTCTTCATAATTGAATATTATGTTTGGATCAATTAATGTATGTGTTTTTCTTCTAGTTCATGGTCTAAAATGACGGATTTGGGTCATCTACTGCCATTTTTCTGCAGCCCTCCTTCCTGCTTCCTTTTTGTTCCTATCTCTCTCTTCATTTTACTCTCTCTCATCTTTAACACTTCTTTTTTTATTTTCAATTTCTCTCTCTCTCTCTCTCTCTCTCTCTCTCTCTCTCTTCATTCTCATAAAATTAGAGATAGAGTCCTGCCTAGCAGGAGAGGATCCAATTCCCTAAAATGACCTAAAACATGCGTGTCTAAAAAGATATAAAATTTAATAAATAAAAATAAAACAATTGAGTACAAATGATAATTCGGAGATATCTTTAGATACTCTCTAATAACATAGAAATACATCTATGAATCATATTTTGTTTAAAAGGGAGTGAATTTCAAAAATATGAAATTTGTTATTATTTTAAGTACGTTTAAAAATACATCTTCAAACACATGAAAAACAATTTCAGATTTTCAAACATGTTAAGCGCACCCGCAAGAATGAAATTAGCCTTATTTACTAATAAGGCTTCAAAGGTATGGCTCATTCTTCTCTCAATTTCTATGCATCTTTTAAATTACTTATTTTGCAATTATAGTTTTGATTTTCTATTATTATTGTTGTACATGTCATTTTCCTTTCAATTTTTGTATTTAATTATTTTAGATTAAATAAATAAATATAAGAAAAAGATAATAATATATAAAATAGGATGCCCTGGCTTGCCGACAGTGTACATGTCACTCAACATGATTAGAATTTTAACAATCATATTTTCATTTGAGGTGTGATTTTTAACTCACTTCACACTTTACAGACAACAAACCACTCTACCCAAAAAAAAAACACATGCATTGTAGGTGGG